ACAGTTCAGTGGAAGTTAGAGACGGGGATTTTGACTCCCCACAATGCTTCCTGCAAGTAGAGCCAGCCTGTGTAGTCATGGGCAAGCTGCACTGCACAGTCCCAGGCCATCTCCAGAAGAAATTATTGGTAAACCACTTCTGAGTATTCTCTACCTAGAACACTCTAAAAATAGTTGCTGTGAATCAGAACTGATGACAGCACATGAAAAAAAAAGTTCTGCTTGCTAACTAAAGAGCTAAATCTTTGACCTAATTGTTTATATAATATTTCCTATTTCTCTTGCTCTCATTTACCACTCACAGTCTGTTTCACAATTTAGGGTAGATAGAAAATGTTCTCATCTAATATTGAAAGGGAAGCAGAGTCAGGCCTCATTGAGACTTGGATCAGGAAACCTCCAGAAAAAAACCAGGAACCTCCAGGTAGTGCTAGGAAGAAACCATGCTTCTGCTAAATGATGCCACAGGTCAATGGGAAAGAGGTACCCAGTTTCCTTTCTTGCACAGTTTATACTCCTTTTGTTGGTAGGGAGGAGTGTTGAGGTTCAAGCAGACAGTGCTTCACCTTCTAAAATAGTAATGCCTCTCCTGAATCCTACCTGAAATACTGGGAAGCTGCTGCCAATCACAGGAGACAATACTGACCTATTGTCATGCTCTATCTACACTGTGTCTACAATGGACTCACTTGGTATAAGGCTGCTTCCTATGTTCCTACAGGAGTGCGAGGGTTTATTCCTGAACAAAAGTCTTTATACTGTTTGCTTTATACTGAAGCAACAACTCTTCATGTTGGCATTGACTGAAGAAGTTTAGAACTAGAGATGGGCACAAACCAATCCGTTTGGCGGTTTGTGCCAGTTCACTTTTCAGCTGAACAGGGGTCCAGCATTTCCTAGCCCTGCAGGCACCCACTCAGAGGTAGTGCCCGAAGGAGGTGGAGCAAGGAAGTCGGGGCACTGCCTGTGAGGGGGCGCCTGCCTGAGGAGGCAGGGCTCGGAAGCACCAAACACTTGTTCAGCCAAAACCAACTGCATGAACTGCCGAACTGGTGTTTGTGCCCATCTCTATTTAGGACTGATAAAGAACAGTAGGACTCAGTTTGGGCAGTAATGAAGTTAGGTAAAGGTGACATTTACTCCAGTCATGTCCAGCTCTAGGGGGCAGTGCTCATCCCCATTTACAAGCTGTAGAGCCAGTGTTTGTCCATAGACAGTTTCCGTGGTCACGTGGCCAGCACAACTAGACACGGAACGCTGTTACCTTCCCACTGAAGTGGTACCTGTTTATCTACTTGCATTTGCATGCTTTCAAACTGCTAGGCTGGCAGGAGCTGAGACAAGAGAAAAGGAGCTCACTCTGTTGCGTGGATTCAATCTTACGACTGCTGGCCTTCTGACCTTTCAGCACAGAGGCTTCTGCAGTTTAAACCACGGTGCCACCACATGTTAGACGTTGCTAAATAAATCAAAACATTTAGGAGAAGAAAGTAGTTTATTATGCAAGCCTGGAATTTAAAAAAATGTTGCACTTTCTTTACTTTCTGTTACTGAAATCCTTAATAGAATTACACTGCCCCTCTGTGGAGCTAAGAAGGAAATGCATACCCTCAATGCCACAGACCAGCTCTGTGCATTAGTTAAAATGTGAAATCTGTGTATATGCATTTTTGAAAACATACTTAGATGGATCCAGGCTAAGTTGGTTTTGTTTCTTTCTTTGTTTTAGAAGTGTTGTACCTTCCAGATTTTGCAATAATGAATGGCCATTTTAAATAATCATCCTATAAATCAACCAGTAAAACCAAACTGAATTCTGTGAACATTATTCATAAAGTGCTTGTATGGGAAGAAAACTCTTTTGCAAAGACTGAAAATACCATAGAGTAGGCGGATGTATCTCAGCTGAAAGGGCATTGTATAGCTGTAATACTATATACCCTTATTTTGGAGATGCACTTCTGTATAGGGCAGTGATGGCGAACCTTTTTTGAGTCTGAGTGCCCAAACTGGGGAGGAAAAAAAAACACAATCCAGTGGGTGGCGGTGGAAGTGGTGGCGGCAGACGGTGAACCTTTTTGGGCCCAAGTGCCTAAACTGAAAACAAACAAAATCTGGGGGGCGGCGGCGGAAGGGGGAATTCTGGGCATGGAGGTGCCTCGAGTCCCTACTCCAGATCCACCATCACCACCAGCTGCTCCAGATTCTGGCTCGCAGCTTGTTGGGGTGCCAACCCCATGGCTGCAGCCACCTTCCCGGATTTGGCTGCGGGGGAGAGGGGGGTAGCGATCTAGCGACTTATGGCTCGCATGCCCATAGAGAGGGCTCTGCATGCCAGCTGTGGCACACATGCCGTAGGTTCGCCATTGCTGGTATAGGGGTTACCGGTGTTTCGCAACATCAGGTGAATGACCAGACACAGAAAAGTTAGTAACAATTTACTTAATGATTAGTGAGCTCTAAAATTTAATTCAATTCAGCATAAGTTGGAGATGGGGAAGTTGTTAAAAGTTAAGTTGATGCAATTTTCCGATAAGTTCAGTTAGGTGATTACAATGTCTTCCCAGAAAAAGTAAAAAATATCTTATTTTGCTGCTCCTCCTCAAATTCCTGTTCTGAACGTTGGAGAAAAGGAATCTAGTACCTTCATTTTTACAAAACCCACTATCCACCCATTAAACCCTGCTTGTGCTTTCTCTCTGCTTTTCCCTAATAATCCCACCCTCCTCTCTTTAGTCCTCCTGGCGTTGAACTTAACTGGTCAAAATGCTCTTGTGTAGCTAAACAAGGGGCACAATTTGTGAAGGCAAATTGCCCCAAGTTATGATATCCCTGCTGATATTATCAGTTGCATGCTCAACCACACAACCTACTATACAACAGGTAACCTCTGCAGTGATTTCTTAACTTGGGGGGCAATTTGCCTCCATAGATTATGCTGCTTGTGCTATGCCAGCATAGGTAGGCAAGAGGATTAGGGTCATTGGTTCCCATGTGGATTCTGGCAATAGTTTCAAGGAGTCATAATTCAGTTTCCTGGGATAGCTGAGCAGCCTTTAGTTGGTGTGTATTATAGAACCAAAACAGACCATCTTGATGCAAAGACCACCATCCTGTTCCAAGCCATCCTTATTATCTGTTGTCTTAAGAACCTCCAATCTTGCATTATAAAACCAATGAAATAATGAAGGCTACTAGGTTTGCACTTATTCATTTAACATTCTGCACTCTCTGTATGTACCAAGGTATCATTTTCACTGATGGTGTGTATTATAGAACCAAAACAGACCATCTTGATGCAAAGACCACCATCCTGTTCCAAGCCATCCTTATTATCTGTTGTCTTAAGAACCTCCAATCTTGCATTATAAAACCAATGAAATAATGAAGGCTACTAGGTTTGCACTTATTCATTTAACATTCTGCACTCTCTGTATGTACCAAGGTATCATTTTCACTGATGATTACTTCCAAGAAACATGTTTATGGGATTGCAGTTGCTCAATTTATGCACTTATTCATTTAACATTCTGCACTCTATGTACCAAGGCATCATTTTCACTGAGGATTACTTCCAAGAAACATGTTTATGGGATTGCAGTTGCTCAATTTAAATTGATGCAGATTTCTTAAGAAATAAATTTTACTGCTCTATATCAGCAGTTATGTTTATTCAGTTGTTAGTTACATATATAGTCTTGTCTTTTCTGAAAATGTTTTATTTACTTTTTTGTAAATATAAACCCCAAAAAACATTGGCTAAATAATTTCTAATTGTTACTGCTGATCCCTGTGAACAACTGAGATGTCCTTCAAAGTTTCATGCAAATAAGAACTGGGAAATAGGAATAAGGACTAAGGAATCAACCTTAGCACTTCCTTGAAATCAATGAGGGTTAAGTCATAATTAACATATCCCTTTGATTATATTAACTTAATTTAATTAATGCTGATGCTTACTTAAATAATGTAAATATGTTCCAAAATTGCTTTGCTTTTGTAAAAATAGTAATGCTCCCAAAGTGGTTTAGGTAAAGGTAAAGGTTCCCCTTGACCATTTTTGTCCAGTCGTGTTCGACTCTAGGGGGCGGTGCTCATCCCCATTTCCAAGCCACAGAGCCAGTGTTTGTCCGAAGACAATCTTCCGCGGTCACATGGCCAGTGCGACTTAGACACAGAACGCTGTTACCTTCCCACTGAGGTGATCCCTATTAATCTACTCGCATTTGCATGCTTTCGAACCGCTAGGTTGACGTGAGCTGGGACAAGTGACGGACGCTTACTCCCTCATGTGGATTCGATCTTACAGCTGAAAATCTACAGACCTTACAGCACAGAGGCTTCTGCGGTTACAGTAGAACTAAAACTACTAAACCAGTAGCTAAAAGGAACAAAATAATGTGTGCTGTCAAGTCAGAACTGATATATAATGACCCTAAAAGGGCTTTCAAGGTGAGATATTTAAAGAGCAGTTTTACAAGTTCCACTCCCCCAGTGAGCTTCCATGGCTGAGTGGGGAATTGAACACTGGTCTCCAGAGTCCTAGTCTATCATTCTGTCTACTACACAAACAAAAATAATAAAGTGCATTAAATACAATTCGTTAAAAACCATGGGTAATGGATTAGTGTAACAATTAGAAGACCACTTAGGAATATGCTTGGGTAGACAGAGATGTCTTCTGATGGCATCAGATATATCTGCTACTAAGATCCTCTCTAATCTTAAAGGGGAGATAATTCCTAATAGTGCTGCCCTGCAACAGAAATAAAGGCATACTTCAAAAAGTTTCCTGCAGAAAGGAATTTTGGCAATGCTCAAGATCCGAAGGTTTTTAATGCTACCCAAAGTCTTGCATTTACAGACGTCATTCAGAATGTTTTGAACAGTAACTGGAAACAAAAGGGATAGCTTATAAAAGCAACAAATTCAACTGAACTCTGAAGGACTTTTATTATTTTAGAAAGATCACATACAATGCAAAATGTATGTGTGGGAGTAACTGTGCAGGGAATGCCACTCGCTATTTCTGAAATAACTACAGGTGCACTCTTAAGCCACTTACTAGAGAGTCAAGCCTGCTCTGGACTCCATGGGGCTTCCTTCTGAAAACATGTGCCTGTCCTTACAATGTCAGAAATGGATCATTTTTCTTGGATACTGTTGGTGGCATGCTTAATAGTCCTGCACAGAAGCTGTTTTAGTGCTGAAATTACTGTCATCAACATATATGTCTTCAGCAGCCCTCCTGAGTGGCCCTCCTGTTTTATTTGGACATCTACAAAACCTGTATTGAAAACACAAATAATACACAGCCTGTAAGCTAAGTAATGAGCACATGGCAGATGCATCTAGGAATACAAGAAGCTTCCTAGCAGCCATGTAAATTGCACTTTGCAGTAGTATCACATAATTTGGTATGAACTGATTCATATCTGTGCTCCCTGTAGAGTTGTCGCGTACTGACATGGAACATTATGGGTCAAACTAGATAACACATTCAGCATTTTTTTTAGAAAACATGGTTTCTCTAGAAGTAAAAGCTGGTTATTTTCTTAACTCATGGATCATGCATTTAACTTGCTTTACTTTGCAGTTGGTCATAAGAAGGTTAAATAGAGGCTTAATTTGCAAGTCTGATTATTAAGTCATTATGGGAAGGGGAAAGGGTTATTTACAGGAAATACACCTTCCCCTTGACATTTAGTTTGCCCCTCAAGAAAAACACTGTTCCTGTGTCCATAGCTTCTGGTGAATTCTCAGATCATGGGGATGGGTCCTCCTGGTGATGGCCCCTGCAATTTGATGTTGCAAGGAAGGAGCAGGTCACACACTAGATGTTCCTTTTCACTAGCTGAGGTTCATATTATAGCCACTATAGCCTTTATTGGAAGAGGCACGTTAGGCCTTAACTGAGAGAACAGCAGGTAAAGAAAGCATTTCCAAAGAAGAGAACTGACTGGGTTGAACACCCATGGGAGATGGCCCTCCTCTTGGTTCATGCTGCTTTCTTGATGGAAAATGGTTCCACATTTACAGTTCAGTCTGTATGAGACGTAATGCTTTCTTCATGTTCTCTATCACTAAAAGAAGACAAGGAATAAAGTGAGATTTGATGAGATTGTGTCATAATTGTACAAAAACATACAAAATAAAATGGCTGAAATCCAGTAGTAAGTGGCTACTAGAGTAGCCTCTTTGAATCAACAGAACCTATGGAGGAACTGATTACACATTCTTCATGGATTCAATTAATTACTCAAGTTGCAACTTATGACTGGATTTCGGCCATAGAAAACTAGTTTCTTTTATTCTCTGTGTTTTAATCAATTAAAGTATTGGTGGATCATACTGAAAATTGGAAAATGTACATTTTACCCCAAGGATCATAAAAATCTGCAAGCTAAGCACAGAAGGATTGCAGATAAAGACTGAATTGGAGCAGAATCAGTGTGGATTTGGTGAGCCAGCTCCTCCATAAATTCCATTGATTTAACGAGCCTACTTTAGTTGTGACTTACTACTGGATCTCAACCACAGGATTGCAGCCCAAGATCAAGTAGGCTGTAGATCGTGGTGGTTGCTGCTTTCATATATGGATTGGTTGAGGGCTATTTTTTATTATTGAACTCTGAAAGAAGTGCTCTTAAGGGGAAAAAAACATAACTACATGACCCTGTATGTCCCTGTCAACCACACAGACCAGCATTGGAATGCCTGAAACAGAAAGTGGAGCATAACATCATGTCCCATTAGGTGAGAAAGAAGTGAGTTGGCTGGCTGAAATCAGGCATGCAACTGGCTCCAATACCTTTGGCTTCCTGAGGTGGAACATATAAGGCAAACTTATTCTGCAGGTCAAAGTGAATACATCTTAAGAAAAATCCACAACTATTTTGGCACCTAAGGAAAATAATACTGCAATTATTTCTCTCTCCCCGTCTGTGAGAAAACAATAATAAATTAGTAACTAAACATTTTCTCCCTGTTCAAGATGCCAACAATATACTGCCTGATAGAGCTGCCCTGCACTGACTTATACACTCTGGCAGGCAGGCCTCAAGAGTATATAAGGTGTGGGAACCTTCAATATAGGCAGAATAAGTGCAATTCATTATGGAAAGAAGAGACGTACACACTGGCAGGTCCTGCGGCTCATAAGTGTAGAGTCGGTTAGAGTATCTTCCAGTAATATCGGCCCTTACTGTGAGAGAAGGATCTGGAAAAGCAAACAAAATATAACAACAATTCCCAATGTAGCAGCATCATAGTCTCATTTCAGTTAAGTCTGGGAGCTAGATCTCTGGGGGATGATACTCTGTACCTAAATAAAATTCATTATAACGTGGCTCCATCTAAGGTTTGATCTCAACGTTGTTACTCTGGTTTGTTGGGAATGGCAAACCATAGTTTGTTGCTTTGGCTATAAGAGAATAAGTTGCATTTCTGAAGAACAAGATGTTACTAATGAAGTGGCACATGAGGTGAGGAAATGAGTATGTGAAAATATTCTTAAAGCACTAAACTGTGGCTTGGCATTTGACATGAGCTGATCCAGTGTCTGAAAGGGACTGAAGGCTTGTCACATGAGCAATCACCAGCGGAGATGTTGTCTAGGCAACACTAAAGAAAGAGGAGTTTTTCAATCTTGAGTTGACCAGACTGTTGCTTTAAACTGTTGCTTTTACAATTCTAATGGCCCCCAAAGTAGGTGGCTACCATAGGAGTGATAATCTTGTAAATTAATTAAAACATAAAAAATTAATGTTAACTTCTTTGTTTCTCAAAATTAACTAAATTAGATGCTTTCAGTTACTTTCTTTTTTAAAAAAACCACACACACACACACACAACTGAATTCTAGAAACCCTGGGCCTTGCATTCATACCTCAGTCTCCAGAACAAAGCACCAGGGCAGTTGCACTAGCCAACCCTTGAGCACCATAGGGTTCTTCCTCTGGCATTTAGTGAGGCCATTGTTCTAACTGTACAAGTAAATAACAGTTACAATTATATCAGAAAAGGTGTGAAGTTATCTAAGGAACTGGGGGAGGCTCTCTACCCTGTTAATGTCTCCTGGCTTTTTTACTTCACATCATGGGTACCCCAATATTTACACATTGGTCTGAAGACAATGCACATTCCGGATTATGACCATAATGTAAATTAGTTATGCCTTATTACAAAAAGGACTTCATTACAAGTAACTAGTTCTAAATAACTCAATTATTTATAGCTAGTTATTTATAAACTCTGGAGTATACCGAGGTCTCCATAACAGCTATGGCATGGCTAAAGCATTACAGCGCTGTGTACAGTACCAATTAGCATACAATGAAAATGCAGAGTCTACACTAGAAATTCCAGTCACCGAAAAGAAAGCTATTTATAAAGAAATCCTACTGCAATGTTAAACAAACACTAATTATGTGTTTACTATGGTTAAATGCCCTCACAAATTTCTGCTTCACATATTTTTATGAGTGAGTTTGAATAATGATAAGTGAACGAGCAAAATACTACATCAATTCCACATTGCGTGTGTGTGTGTGTGTTTTGTATCAGTAAGTTGGAACTGACTTATAGCTATCCTAATAGGGTTTTCAAGGTAAGTGAGATATTTAAAGAGTGGTTTTACCAGTTCCACATACACACCAGTGAGTTTCCATGGCTTTGTGGGTTCTCCAGAATCCTAGTTCATCACTCTATTCACTATACAGTGGGGTCTCTACTTAAGAACGTCCCTACTTAAGAGCAATTCCACTTAAGAACAGCTCCATTTGCTAAATTTTGCTTCTACTTGAGAACAAAAATCCAGATAAGAACAGGAAAAAAAAACTTTCCTGCTCTTTTTTTAACCTTAGGTCATCTTAGGTTAAAAAAAAGTTCTCCCCCTAGTGGTAGAGTACGTATTAACCAGCTTTGCATTAGTTCCTATGGGAACTAATGCTTCAATGTACGAATGCACCTCTACATAAAAAAAAAAAACAGCCAGATCAGATTAATTGGTTTTCAGTCCATTGCTTCAAAATTAGCTTCATCAGAAGTGCTTTTAACACTGTTCCCTGACCTAAGGGAAAAAAAAGAAAAAATCCCCCTCTAGTGGTAGAAGGCGGAATAGCAGCTTCCCATTAGTTTCTATGGACGGAAAAGAGCAGATACGGATTAAATGGTTTTCAATGCATTCCTATGGGAAATGCAGATTCTACATAAGAACTTTTCTACTTGAGAACCACCTTCCAATACGGATTAAGTTCTTAAGTAGAGACCCCACTGTACCATACTGGGAATCCAATTCACAATTGACGTGAAGGTATGAAAGAGTGAAAAATAATCAGTGGGCAGCAAAGTATTTGTAGAGAAACTACTAGTTGTTCCTGCACATCCCTTCAGGCTAGCAATGGATAACACTTGCTATCAGCCATAATCAGAAAGGGTCAAGAGGTTTCAAGTGTCATTACCATTTGGTATGGAAGGGGATTTCTATGGTTGGGAATGTAGAACATGTGTCCTCTAAATGTTGAGCCACTGCTCTCATCCAAATGGTGAGGAAGTAAAGGATTGATGGAAGTTGTAATCCAACATTATTTATGGAAGGTGATACCTTCTCTGGGGTTTGTGTTCAAAGAGCAACAATATGATTCTACAGAGCTGACTGAGTCATCTCCTGGCTCCTACTTTCTGGTAAGTAGTGGACAGGAATTCACTAACATCCCTGCTGGTTATCTATTTGTTTATTAGAGGCCTTCTCCATTTGAAACAGGCCCAGAAAGTGAAATAATATAAAACCAGCAAAGGCCACAGGCCACACCTCACCACTCCCTCGATAATATCACCCTATAGTTTCTACTAAAGAAACATGTGATTGACTATTGCCAACAGTTTTGTTTCACTGAGACACATATGTATGTTAGGGACTCATATTATTTGAAACATACCTACAAACATGATTCGAGGCACATATTGTCCATCAGGTGAAAGGTTTTTGTCCGTTGTTTCATGCTGGCAGGAAAAGTTGAAATGATCTTAATAAATAACACTTAATTAGGCATCAGTATATTAAAAATATGATTCCCTGCTACCTATAATAGGTTCAATATACATATATATATGATTGTGCATACCATGAGATTGAGCATGATGAAATTGTTCTGACACATCTCTTGTATTTCTTGATTTTCTGCAAAAACCTTCTTTAGGGCTACAGAAAACAAAGGAAGACCATCATTTCAAATGCAAAAAAGAAGAAAAAAGGAGGCAGAATAACACAGTCTGTTGCTTCAATCAATCAATCAATCAATCAATCAATCAATCAATCAATCAATCAATCAATCAATCAATCAATCAATCAATCAATCAATCAATGTTTCACCACTTTCTGATCAGGGCTGTGCAAAAGTCAGGGTTTCAGAATGTGTCTTGATTTGGTCTAGAGCAATCCATGCCCTGGATCTGAAACAGTTTGTGAATTTCTAAATCAACAGACAAGAAATTCATAATGTGTATAACTTTTTAAAAAATGCACATGAAATCTGGAGACATGGTAGAATCCAAAGAGGGGAGTAAACCTGCCGAAAAGTAGGTAACTTGCTTCAGGAGTTTGAATTCTAAGCATTTTTAAAGTTTTAAAAAAAGAGGCTGAGGTGATTTGTTTCCCACCTAATTTGATTGGCGCTCTGGATCTGAGTCAGTCTGAAAACTTGCTTTGCTTTGGCTTAGAACCAAATCTGGCCAATCCAGTTCAATACAGATATCATAAAAAGTACGATGCATTAGGCTGATTTAGCCCAGAAGTTGTGATTTTTCAAATCCTAGCTCTGACCCTATGAACATAATATCTTCTATTGATTTCAGTGGGTTAGATCCACTCTTACCCATAGTAACAGTATACTAATTGAATTCAAATAGGCTGAAGATTACTACTTTACTTGATTCCAGATAGGTCTTCCCTAAGTATATGACATGGAATCCAACCCAAAAATGGTGATCCAATGGCCTTAAACTAGAGAGACATCTCTGCAAGAGAATACCTGCACTGACATTTGTGCATGCCAATCCACCTACCAGTTGGCTAACACTGTCATTTTTGGTAGTCCTGACTCTTTATTTGACATTGCTTGTTGCATTGCTAACTCATAAGTAAAAATTCAGGGCATGGTCCAGTTTGCTAGATGATGATTCAAGGAAGAACAATCTGCACTGCACAGCAAACTGCTAGGCACTTAAGTAGCTATGCAGCACAGAGAGTCAAACTGAGAAACAGAGACAAGGAAAGTTACTTGTTTTTGTATTGTAGCTGCAATGGCTATCATAGTCGCTGCATTTGCTGGCTGAGGTTATAATGTTTAGGAGTTACCTCAACTTAAGATAGACTTCGCACAAATGAAGTGAAAGTTCTCTTCATTACAGCTGTTTTGTGGGCACTGAAGTAAACCCAACAAAAGGACATTATTCTTAGCAAATTCTTTAGAGACTGATGCTAGGCAACCACACTCATCTGTCTCTCAGGTTACAAGACTATAAGAACAGAACAATATGAAATACATTCCTTCAGTTGCTTGGTAGCAAATTCATGCTATTAAGTAGAACCTGCCTTGTGTTACATTAGATTTTGCAGAATACAGGAAATATTACTCGTACTACAAAAACTTTTCTTCTTTAAGAATTCTCTCATTCTGAGGCAGTAACCCTATACTCACTTCTTTGGAGTAAGTTCCACTGAATTCAATAGGATTAATTTCTGAGTAGATACACACAGGAGTGTGCTGTAATGGTGCAGTCCTACATATTTTATACTTAGAAACAAACCCTGGTACTGTATAACCAATAGGATTTACTATCAGTTATGCATGTCTAGGGTTGTACTCCATTAACTGTTTTTCATTTTTGATACTCAAAGTAGGAAGGCTTAGGTTAATTCCATTGTCACACCTTCTAACCTAAAGCCATGCTTCTTAATTTCAGGTAGGTTGTTCCAGATAGATTCTAATGACTACTAACTGTGTAGGAGCTGTGCGTTATTATCCTGTATGAAGCCTTTAACCACATAAATAATGTTTGCCTTTAATAGGTCAATGCCCACCCAATCACAAGCGGACCCAGTATTTTTCAGCACTGTATTTATAGATGCATACATCTAGTTCAATACTAGCAGAGTGAAAACCACCACTAGCACAATTGCATAGGATTACACCATTAAGCAAGACGTTGTACAAAGTGTTGAGCAAGTGGCTGTGCAACCTCTTGAATGACGAAACTTGTGCCGGGCACCATCCTTGCACTGCTACTGAAAATGGGCCAGTGCAAGCATAATGGCAGCATAGTGACTGTGGCTGGAATCTACAGACGATCCCTTAACACACCTATTTTGGAATAATATGCAATATCCTGTGAACCAGCCACCACATGGTTAGTGGTTATCTGAATATGTATCCTCAGTGGTGAGGATGATGTTCCAGGTTATTAAGCAGGGTCAGCCTAAGACATTTTACTTCCTAACACAGAGCAGTCTATGGTATCTCTTCTTACCCAACCAAATCAAGCCTCAGGGTACCCAAATACATTTTGGAATGAAAGTTTGAAGGGTTGTGGAAGGATGTAGAGGGAGAGGAAGATATGCAGAGGTTCTGTTGGGAGGAAAATCACCGCTTTTTAGCCCTAATGAGCTTTTTCTGTTAGCACAAACACCTAACTGGATCCCAGCAAAAATAAACAAATAATAATTTGGTGTTCCCTCTGCTTAATAGTAGAGCCAATTTTGCAGTCTGGCTTTAATGGACAATATCTGATGTATTCCGAAGTGAGAGTCTCTCAGAAAAACTCTTAGAAGCATTTCATATATCAGTGAACTGAAACCATTTTAATATCTCCCGCTTTCACAAAGGAATACCTGAACGATGATTTGGAATCTCAGTGTCAATTAGTACAATCCAGTTTTTAATATAATTATTATTAATGTGTACTGCTATATTATAGAAATCAAACTAGTTTGTTTTACCTTGGCAGTACTGGCAGTCTTCCAAATGGTGAATAACCATGAGTGGCTTATTACTTTTTCAAAGACAGAAAAAGATGTGTTAGATTAAATGCAGATAAGACATCTGTGTCAAGTGTGATAAGCACCACAACAGAATAATGAGCAAAATCTGACAGCAATGAACAAAGACGTGTTTACAAACTATATAGAAAAGATAACCAAAATTATTTAAAGGAATAGAGGAAAAAACTCAGAGAATAGATGTGATTACCCGGAGCCAAGTTTTAAATATCTATGCATGGCTGACGTAAAAGTTATCCTGAAACATCGGACGTGAGATTGACATAGAAAGCAGAATTCAGTACTGAGCTATCAACAGGCCAATGGGACAAAATCTGGCAATTCCCCTTTTTAAAGCAAATCCAGCAACTACTCGTATGTAGGGAAATACTGTATATAAGATGACTCATGGGTGACAGCTAACCCCAATCCATTTGCAACAAATATAACTGTCAAATTCTCCAAAGTGTTCAGGGGGTGTGGGAACAGAATATCTTTCTATCATATGTGGTTTGAGTGTCTAGAAGCCTCCAGATTTTGGACTTAGAAATTATAAATAACACCACAGAGCAAAATCTCCAAAAAAGTGGGGTATTTTATCAGTATTTGCTGGGGTCAATTCCTTAGCACTCTGCAAGGATCTGATTGCACTACTGATAGTGCATGGCCAGACTGGAGTGTAACCAGTATTGGAAAAATTTGGACAATCCTTGCATTTCAAACTGAGAAATTGATTCACAAACTGTGAGTCTGTAAAGGCTTGGAATGAACAGACATTTATCAAGATATGGTTACCTTTTCTCCAGTATGAAAACCAGAACCCACTGATGAACATTTTTGAAACTTTGGAGAGATTTTAAAGTCCTTTAAAAAAACAGCTTAGTCTAGGAATTGATAATTACATTGGACACTGTACTTTATAGTATTTTCTGTTTAGCAAGAGATAGATTAATGTATGTATTTCTAATTTATTTCAATCAATAGTTTCTTTAAAAACATTTAGAATATGGCAGAATGACATTAGACAAGCTAAACCTGCAACCAAAAAAGGTAACTTCAGAAAATCCCATATTTTTTGTCTTCGTTCTTTGAAATACAGTATTTGATTGGCAACATGTTGCTAGCCTGATTTGGATAGGGCTGGAGAACCAGTCTGCATTCCTGATGTGGAACAATAATACAGTACTGCAAGCTAGATCTAACAATACTTTCTTAGCTCCTTTTGATGGCACACAAAGAAATTTACATCAATTAGTGAATAAAATACAAACAAAAACAAAATGCATAACTTAAAGCAATGTCTAAAGATAGCAAACAAGTACAGTCGGGCCCTGCTTAACGATTACCCCGCATTACAAAGAATCTGTTTATAACAATGTTTTTGAGATCGTAATTGTGACCGCAAAACAATGGTCAAAATGGGGGAATTTCGCTTAGCGATGATTGGTTCCCTGCTTCGGGAACCGATTTTCACTTTACGATGATCAAAAACAGCTGATCGTTGGGTTTCAAAATGGCCACCGGGTGCTTAAAATGGCTCCCTGCTGTGCTTAGGGACAGATTCCTCGTTATATAGGCACCGTAAATGGCTGCCGTATGGAGGATCTTTGCTGGACTGTGAGTTTTTAGCCCATTGGAACACATTGAACGGTTTTCAATGTGTTTCAATGGGATTTTTAATTTCGCATTACAACATTTTCACTTCACAGCAATTTTCCTGGAATGGATTACTGTCGTTAAGCGAGGCACCACTGTAATGTGTTTTCCCTTTATACCATATATAAACAATTTGTTTTGAAATACGCTGGAAATTCCACCTGAAATCACTTCCCCTTTTAGAAGGATGCTGTTACTTAAGTGACAAAGCTTGGATGAGCTTACATGAATCACTGTCAGCAAAGCCTAATATTATCTTTTACAATGTTTTTTTTTAAAATGATTGATACAGTACTGATGTTTCTACTACGGTATGAAGATATTGTATTACAATGTGCTTGTTGCATTGATTGATGGTTTTAATTGCATTTTATTCTTGGCATTTATAGCACATTATTCATATAATTAACTTCTATGAACTTGACATGAGATGTCCTAAAGCTGGCTTCTATATATGGAGGTCTGCTTAGCCATTATTGAGAGGAGCTTCCCCCTAGGAGAACATTTTTTTAAGCCTTTATTAACACGGCATCACTGCATCAAAGGTATTTAATATGTGACACCACAGTAGCAATCTGAACATAAATCTGCAGAAGATGTGAGGGGAAGTCATACCTGAGTGACCCAACTCCCTTCCTGTGATCCCTCTTCAGGTTATTTGCATCCAATGTTCGTACCACATGTCAAACACTTTTGCTGCAGTGACATTATGTTGAGGGCCAGAAATGTTTGGGGGAGACAACACAACACCCATAGGAGATACCTAGCTTACTGCTTCTTCTCTCATGATTTTTTAAAAAGAAGCTTTGTGTTCTTGGCTCCCATGTCAAATTCAGAATGGTTTGTTTTAAAAAATATTTAAGGATTCTACTGAGAGAACATTGGGCCTCCTTGATTTGTCACCAAGCCATTGCTTGTAGAAAAGAAATGTGTTTCTAATAACACATTCTAATCACACTCCTCATTGGAAATACCCATTTTGTACCTCCTGAGACTGACAAGGGGAAGAAATGTTGCCATAGGGATCCACAGATTTTCATGAGATGCCTTGCATATTGGTGGTGGTGGTGGGGAAGTACCAAACCATACATATATTGGAGTGATCATCTAATCAGATTGTTCTACACAACTAGTTCAGTAAATATGCAAATCAAGTCCCAGACAGACTACGCTGGCTTGGTTTGTTTTAGTATTAGGTAGAGGAGGGCATTTCCAGGCAGAGTTATCTATATTGTCAGCTTGATATGCAACTGTGCTAGATAAAATATCCCCCCCCCCCGCACCAGGGCAGGTTCGTTGCCTTTGTTACCTTTGTTTTGCTTGGTAGAGTCCTTCTTCGTAAGTTTGAACCCAAGTTATTTCATCTCCCCAACCTAGAAAAGCAACAAATTGAATTATTACACATCTATCTATCTATCTATCTATCTATCTATCTATCTATCTATCTATCTATCTATCTATGTCTGTCTGTCTGTCTGTCTGTCTTGGTAACTTCAAAAGGTTTTCTTTTTTGGAGGATGCCTTCTAGAATCTTTCAGCCACTTATGGGAAAAGAATATTTTACAAATGCTGATTTTTCTTCATATTGAATTGAATCTATACTAACAAAATAATAATCTGTCAATCAATCAATCAATCAATCAATCAATCAAATCAATCAATCAATCAAATCAATCAATCAATCTTTATTTGCAGTCTCCAACCCATTAGGATACATACATGTAATATTTAAAATAAATGGAAGCAATTAAAACATTTCAAGATAGCTAAAACAGTATAAGTTAATAAAACAGGTTACCCAACAGGGTTAGGTAGAGCAGTGGTCCCCAACCATGGGCCTCCAGATGTTGTTGGACTACAGCTCCCAGAAGCCTTTGCCACCACCTCTGCTGGCCAGGATTTCTAGGAGTTGAAGTCCAAGAGCATCTGGAGGCCCAAGGTTGGGGACCACTGAGGTAGAGGTTAAGATTGTCTTTCATATTCTTTGGGAAGAGAGAAGGAATTTGGCCACTGATTCGGTGGTTATCTTGTTTGTGATGCTTAATAAATATTTTGTATGCCAAATCAGAGTCCTACCTGGGAAGACATTCATTATGGGCTTCAGGAATTTGATATGTACATTTCTGTAAAAATTACAGTCAAAAGGTATGTGCTTCAAAGTTTCAATTTCTCTATCTTTACAAGGAGACAATCTTTTATATGGGGTGCCAGAATATTGCCCATCTAAAATTGCAGATTTGAGACAGTAAAATTGGTCTCTTGAGAGACGTGCTTATATTTTGGGATAACCAGATTCTCCAAATACCTAGCACTTTGGGATAAATTATATTTTAAGGTTGTAAGTACCATTAAGTAAGTACCAATGCAAGTACCGTTAAGTACCATTAATTGTCCAATTTCTTGGTGTTACAGATTGAGCGAAAACCATAATTTTGGTTTTAACAAAATTTACAACCAATTGGTTGTTCTTACAATAGGTCATAAATGTACGAATCAGCTGTTTAAGACCTATTTTTGATAGTGACGAAGAACTGCGTCATCTGCATAAAGCAGTAGGGGGCATTTGGTCTTTGCCGATCTAGGAGGATTGAAGTCTGTTCCAAGACACCACCCAAGCAGATCATTTAAATACAGGTTAAATAATATGGGAGCTAATATACAGCCCTGTCAAGCCCCTTTATTAGCCTGAGTAGGTTTTGTCAGGTTTCCTTCTGTACCCCATCTAACATGAAGTGTGATGCCCTGATAAAGACATTTAATAAGATATAGGAATCTCTTTTCTATAGAAATGCTTTTTCTTTTGGTATACAGAACCTGTTCTTTAATTTTTGTATATTACGCAGACTGCAACAAAGGATCATCTTATATTAGGGAATGTACATGCACACACAGAGAGATGTACACAATCCTGATGAAAATTAATCAGTAAATAAATAAATAAGTAAATAAATAATCACCCACCCAATCCAAAACATTTCCTGAAATCTATAATTTTTTTTAGATTTTCATATACAAAATTCTGAAGAACAAAGAGAATTGTACCTCTTGAAAGTGTCTGTGGAGTTCTTTTTTCCTTTTTGATTGCCATTGCAAAATTCGAAGTAACTGCAATTAGCATGAAAGATAACCCCAATGCTGAATGCATCTTCCTTCCTTCCTTTCTGCTCCCGCCTGCACCCTGATAATGGAGAATAGAAACAACCTATAAATCTGGTGACCTTCCAAGAAGTTGTTTATACTAACTACAGGAAGAACAAATGCATCATTCCGTTATTAAAGATACGAATTTTCGTTTTCCCAAACTGTTGAAGCTGAACCTACACATTAAAACAACACAGCAAATCCTACAGCTCAGTAAAGTAAGAGAAGGGAGAAGAAACAGAAAAGTTGAAAAATCTAATGCAATTTTGGGGCGTTTGGTTTCCTTTTTTTTTTTTAATCAACCAGCCTTTTAAGACACTTCAAAGAATTCTAAAGCCTTCAAATTTTTTTTTTTTTTTGTATCAACCAGCCTTCTAAGACACTTCAAAGAACTCTAAAGCCTTCAAAATTTTATGACATTCTGGTTGATCCTAAGCTATCGTCCAATTATGAAAATGGTGATGGTTACCCCTTATCATGGATATGTATGGCTATTTCCATATTTTGTTTACATGTATCCCAATTTTGCAGATTCCTAAAGGTGTGGAAACCACATATTGAATTCCTCTAAGTTTTTGTTTGATTTTTAAACATTATGGCAGCATTTCAAAAGGGCAATAGGGGAACTGTGTTAGGAAAAACTGCATTTCAAAATACTATTTATTTATTTACAATACTTTTTTGCCGCACCGTTACCAGTGGCTTCTATGTTGAGTGGTTACAATTGTTCAGTGTGCAACTGTTTTTTAAAAGTGACTACTTAAGTGTCCCTTGTAAGTTTCTGTATAAAAGATATTTCAGTTATTAGAATAATTATATTAGAATAATCTAGTAATTAGCTATAGCTGCTGGAACTAATGGAAACAGAAGCTTAGCAAATCACCTAAGAAAGTTGTCAATAAAAATCCCGGTAAGAATTATTTGAGACGAAGAAAAAACTTTTAGCCATCTAATACTGTCAAATTGCATTCTATTGGGAAATGATCTAATTTTCAATGGGACACTTTAATAAATAGCAAAAAAAAAACTTTATAAAGATTTTCCTATATCTTGCATTAATTGAATATACAACAGATATGTCATTAAGTTTTTGATGATATTTGGATGTCTAATTAAATTCTTTGCACCTCTAATCAGCATAAACAGCCATGTGAGCAGCAATAAATTAAAATGAGCAAATTAGGACTATTTTCAGACAAGAATTTAATTGTACAATCATTAGCTTTATTGTTATTATGATTGTGGGTCAGCCATGTTAAATATACAAAACTACAGCACAATAACAAATCATACAGTATGTACAAGCAATACAAAGCAGATTGAAATTCAAACCGCAGTTCAAATTGCGGAAGTTTCTAATCTAATTATTGCTTATTATACAAGACACTGCACAGAATTTTGCATCCTGTGCTGTGATTTCACTTGAGAAATCAGAGAGGAGAAAAGAGATGTAAAATTTATCAGGTCTACCTGGATAATGTTTTAAAATCGAGGAAAAAAATTGTGTGAATCTTTATAAAATGTGTAATACAGGACATATTTCATGGTTTCCACCATCCCAGATTGGGAAAGAGCTTGATTGTAAAGGATACGTGAGTATCTTTCCTCTAGAATGGCTGAAGGTAGTGTTCTGTTTTCATAAGTTTTAATGTAAAACTGTAAAACAGTTTTAATGTAAAACTGTATATTTTAAATTGTTTTTATCTTCTAAGTTGTGAGCCGCCCAGAGTAGACTATGTCTAGATGGGCGGCATATAAATGCAATAAATAAATAAATAAATAAATAAATAAATAAATAAATAAATAAATAAATAAATAAATAAATAAATAAATAAATAAATAAATAAGATGGCCAGGCAAAAGCAGTCTTCATTTTGTAACCTCTTGACCACCACTTCTATCTTTTATCTTATTATCTATATTTTTTCAGGAGACAAAGGCTAAATAGCTGTACATTTATTTTTGTTTTTGGTACTCTTAAGAGGCATATGTGTGGAAGCACCCTCGGCTGACCTTCTTGGGGGGGAAATTAAATAATTTGTTTTTCTTTTCATTCAGCTAAATCCCTATCTTCTGACCAAAATGCCTACACATGCCTACACAGGGTTAAAAAAACAAACAAACACAAATGTCAGTGAATGACTGATCTTCACTATTAATTTACACAACAGCTGGACAAACTGGAGCATGCTGTGTAATCACATTATAAACATGCATCTTCATTCTGTTGTTTTTTTCATTGATAAATTCCCTCAGATTTTTTTAAAGAAGGTCCTAGGAGGTCAGGGTTGTTAAAAAATTTGTCTCTATCTGGAAAAGTGTAAATCCACGACTCCCTGCTTTTACACAAATATGGAATACATGTTAATCATTCATTCTCTCAACAATGAAAGCAAAAAATAATAGTCATTGGAACATTCTGGAATACTGTCAATACCGTACTGATTACTGCACTAGTGCAATCATTCACACACACATAGATAGTATACATGCAATCATATATGACAGTGTGCACACACAGACACAATCCATCACAGCAAGTTATATTGGTTTCAATTAGATTCATCCATGCCTTTTCCCAGGTAACTCAATGCATCAGCCTCAAAATCAGATTTATTTGCCTTCTCTTCTATTTTTTCTCCCCCAGGAAATCTTTCTTACAAACAGAATGAGTTTGCTTCCTAGTAGACTACATGTTGGATGCCCAATTAACTGTTTTTAAGTACACCCACTGAATTCTGTGGGACTTACGTTAGTAGTGATTAACTTAACTCCTGTTGATTTCATTTGGGCTGCTATAGTTGCATGGAAGTCTGTGTCCAGCCTTGAACCATTATCTATAAGCAATCAATGTTATAGCTATTGGAATCTAATAGACACAAAAGTTAGTAATCTCAGGCACCTAGTAAAGAAAGTGTCAGAACATTTCTGAGAAACCATCTTAGATTTGCTGGGACAAAGGATGCTCCGCTTGAAAACACCACAGTTGATGTGATGCTCAATTCAGCAATATTTCAAAGGCAAACAAATCAGTATTCACAAATCTGTATTCTTGCATTATGCTATGGTTTCCTTTGTTTCAGTAAAACTATTTCTAATTCATATACCTTTACAGAAGTTGTAATCCACTTTGACCTGTTCCTGGATCAACTCAACTCCACAGTTGGCAAAGTAGGAATGCTGTTATGAGCTCTCTTTTCATTGCCTTTGTAAAATGTAATAAACTTTTGCAAATATTTGACAGGCAACTGATAAACGACTGTGTGTCAGTTGCATTTGCTTACCGACATTCAGGCAATTTGCTATAAAGGAGATTAAGACTTTGGATTTTGCTCACCGGGGCCGATCAGTTGTGCTGGTGAAAGTTTCTTGTCAAGGAAGTAAATGTCTTAAAGTGGGTGTGATTTATAGATCTGAGGACACCTGCCCTGCTCAAGCACTTCAGCAGACCTAACAAGAAGCTATTCACTGGGAAAACAGATAGCAAGGCCCGGCCCAGTCTTCTCCCTCACTCCCACCTTACTCCTGTGAGCCCTCATCTGGGCATATTGAATACTCAGATTTCTCATCCCATCTTTGCTCATATCGGGTGTCATCATATTGGAACTGAGGAATAGCAGTGTTTCTGTTGTGCATCTGTGACTTTTCCTCCCAAATGATTAAGGTCTGGCGCAAGTTCAGCGAAATGAGAAACCCGCAGTGAAAGTAGGAACTATAGGTGCTATTGTTTCCAATGAATGGGCAAGTTCACGGGTGCTCTGAGATTAGGCAGGAAACTAAGAGAAAGGTACAAGAGTTACTTTGTGCAGAAGAATGTAATTAAGACATCCAACTTTTTTTAAAAAAAAAGTTTTACCCAGAAGTTAGAAGAAGAAGAAGAAGAATCATCTAAACTTTCATAATTGTACCAAGGAAAGATGAGGGAGGCATCAGTTGTTTAAATATGTTTTCTAATGCAGTCCCCCTGGCTTTGTTGTCTTGGCTTCAGTATGTAGTTAGTACCTTTCATTGCACACCTGCACCATCCTTAGCACCTGTTTGGTGGAGAAGCCAATCGGGATCAAACTTTTAATCCTGTACAATATGCAATGGGGCTTTTCTGGATGCCTTTCTTAAAGCAACCTCTTGGGTCCTGCAAAAATGGCTCCTGAAACAGAGCTAGGAATAGTTACTTCATGAATTAGAACTCCTAGAATCCCCCAGACAGTAGGTCAGGCTTTGTGCTAAAAGCTGAAAAGCAGCACAGGACTGAAGGCAGGGGAATGTGCTGCAGATGGAAAGAGAAATGGCAACCTCTCCCTCTCTCTGCAAGCAGATGCAATCTATCTTGTGGATAGGGGCTTTCTGATTTTCAGCCTCTATATTGTTAATGATCTATCATCTATATGAATACCAGAGTGATGTACAAATATAAGTAAATGAATAAAATAATTTAATTTTATTTGTGAAATGGGTGGTGTTTAGTGATTTGAGTGCTGGGCAACAGGTTAATTCATTAGTCAATTAACTAGAAGGATCCATGGAGGTGTGAACCACTCATGGACAAACAAAGTCCCTTTGCTCTGCCCAATGTTCACAGCAGAAATGCATATTGCCATATTTGTATGACGATAGTGTACGGCTCTAGTTAGGACCATAGTGCATGTCCAACAGTAGAAGGCATCCTCCTCTCCTGGAATGGCTGTTTTATTCCTTATTTTGGGACCAAGGAGGACATCTACGAGATGTTGGACTACAACTCTAATCAGCCTTTGATCTCCACCAAGAATAAAACATGGTTCCATTCTTCAGAAGAACCAGCCATCCCATCCTCCCGTACTTTTATCCCCTCCTTTGTTCAGTTTAAAATGGCGGGCCATTGCCCTGGCCTCCTTTGTTTGTTGCCACTTTAGGAGCTGAATTCCTGGGAAGTCAGGGGATGATCATGAAGGGGGCAGGGGAAGGTTTATAAGTACCTTTAAGCAATTCACTAGATTTAACTTCAGGACCTTAAGGGGTGGTTGTAGCAAAGCTACAGCTTGGAACATGACTCTGCATTGTGCCTTTGTAGCCTTGGACAAGCTGTACAATCCCCAGCATGCCCCCCCCCGAAGAAGAGGGTGGTAAACCAGTTCCGAATACCATGAAAAGGGTAACCGTATATAATCATTGACTAAATTTTCCTCCTCCTCCTTTTCTTCACTCTGCTAATAAGCAACAAATAATCAGTTTGTTTAATTTGTAAACTCAGCCTCAGGAGGAGTGGGGGGGGGCTTTCCCCTCTCTGCCTTCAATGCATTTTAGTGGGAGAAAATTTCTTCATGGCTACACATTAACAGCTTCACAGAACTATGCTATTAGTCCTCTGATAATTATGTTGCCATTGTCACTCCCAATGGAATTCCTTCTGTCACAGCATAAAACCGTTTAAGATAAATATCTTGAAGACCGCTGTGTGACAGGACCTTCCAGCTGGGGGCAGTCCTACAGATTAGTTGCATATTTATTCATGGGCATCTCTACTGCGTGCCTCTCAAGGCTCACAACAGAATGAAGTGTGCCTTGCTTTGAAAACCAGTACATACTCAAAGCTTGCAAAGCAAACATTTCAAAAATGACATTCAGCCAAAACTGTGCTATGCTTGACCAATGTGCTGAAGCACACTGCATTCAATAGAATAAAGCATTCAGAAATGCTTATATTTTAAAAAACGCTTAGAGTTCTTGAATATATGCCTCTTGTGACAAACAAAAAAACTAAACAAATGTCCATGTGCACAGGGGAAAAAAAATGAGGTCTTGCAATCTAAGATGTGTTTATATGGATGCTAGTGGGAGGCTGAGATACACAATGAGAATGCTACTGGATAGCTCAGTGGTTTAGGTATCTGGCTGCAGAGCCAAAGGTTGGGAGTTTGATTCCTTGACAAGGGCTGGACTCAATGATCGATTGGGCCCCTTCTAGCTCTGCAATTCTAAGATGGTGCTGAGACTGACCAAGTTCCAGAACCCCTTTTCCAGCTCAATAAAGGCTTACTTCAAGCCATATTAATAGCTACTGTCTGCACAAAACATGGGAGAAGTCCTTATTTATGCTAGGAGCGCCATCTTCTGGAATTAAAAAAGCACAAAGATTTTCACTTTTGTATTTAGCTTTGTGGCAACGACAGTATTTATTCCTTCCTTTACTTAATTTTGACTTGCCAAGCTTTCTCCAGAGCAGCTCACATAGCAGGAAAAGTGGCATTAACATAACTCCATATGAAGTAAACACTCATAAAAATGGAAAATGATTAAAATGTTAGAATGTAGACTTTTAGGGGTAAGGATATATGTTATTAATGTGTAGTAATCTCCAGAGTGGAACAATAGGTGCTATTGTTTTAAGGTCTTAAACATATTTTAAGGTCAAGAGCCAGGAAATTTGCTTGTGCTAAGAACTCACTGACTGCTTGTCATGAAATTGTCTCTGACTGCCACAAGAAATGAAAAGTGACTTTATTTTCCTGCATTCAAAAAATCACTTCAGAAGCAGGAATGCTTTCCTGAAACAGAACGGACTATTTTGTGGCAGTTGACATAGGAACCTTTTGGAAGATTTCTTTTTTACTGCCACAGCTTTCTTAAATTGTGTTTTTCGTTATTCCCAGTGCATGTTTAAATAACAGAAGCTGAAATCCACCCAGAAAAGTTGTAGATATGGAAGGAAGGAACAGAACAGAACAGGCAAAATGGCCCCCAAAATGGACATACATCATTCACAAAAGGAGAAAACAAGAGAGGGTGCTGATTTGCACAAATTACATGCTCTAATTTGTATGTTCAAATGCACATGTGTAAATAACCTTTCCAATTTAAACAGAATTAATGGAACATCTTACCTGAGGAAGGAAGATTGTGACCTGGGAACCTGTCCGATGGCTGGCTCTCTTTCCCACAGCCTCCAGGGCATTTTTGCATGCTTAACATAAGGAAGGCCATGGTTTCAGATAACTTCAGTGGAAACAGGAACAATACAATAACAAGACAGCTAATTAGTTATGTGCTGTCAAGTTGGAACCGACTCATAGCGACCCTAAAGGGCTGTCAAGGTAAGTGATATATTTCCATGTCCAAGTGGAGATTCAAACCCTGGTCTCCAGGGCCCTAGTCATCACTCTATCTGCTGCACCACGCTGGGTACTTAGTAACAAGATACTTAAAAAAAATACTTTTAAAAAAATGGCTTTCATGTTTTGAAGATCTTTTAAAATTATCTTTGATGTCTCACAAGTAGGAAAAGCCACAGCCCAGGAGGGGATGCTTAAATTAATTGTTGATGTCTGGAAATTTAACAAGAACTTTTATAGTATGCTGACCTTCGAAGGAGACTGAAACAGGAAGGGCAGAGTATTGACGGAAATGTTACATGAGTGCCTTTTCATACCTTAGACTTGAATAACCAAGTCTTGTTTTGTTAGCTCTGCAATCAAAGCTTCTTCCTAATGGTGAAAGCTAATACAGGAAGAAAGTCACTGTTAAACTGAACTCCACAATATTTAATCGATCTGCAATTATATATGTCTCACCTGGCACTGGCCATGTGACCATGGAAGATTGTCTTCAGACAAGTGCTGGTTCTATGGCTTGGAAACGGGGATGAGCACTGCCCCCTAGAGTCAAACACGACTGGACAAAAATTGTCAAGGGGAACCTTTATCTTTACCTTACACCTTACACAGTGCATCCTGGGAATTAGTAGATGTCAAGAGCCTGATTGTACTGCTTGGCCCCACATGTTCAGTGTAGGGTAGGGGCGGAGATGATAGGCATTCAACCATCCCATCACAGTCTTTCCGTGCATGGCCAGCAACTTGAACAAGTATAAGGACTTGCATGTGTCCAGTTCTGTGCTTTTATCATCTGCTTGGAGTTTTCACTGAGGATCCAGAGGTCAGAGTGGACACCAGTAGACAAAATCTCATTCATCTGACCACAGAGCGTCTCATGTCAGCAGAACTGTTCTGTCTGTGAGGGACATCTGTGGTGATTATAACGGTAAATCAATCTCTGAGCTTGCCTCTTGGTGCTTCAGCAATGCCTTAAGATAGAGCACAGAGCAGAAAACAGTTATACTTCTACTGCTTTATAGGCAGAGTTTGGAAACATTTCTTTTGGAGTTAGACTTCCCAGCATTCCCCAACCGGCACCAGCACCTCTGGCAGCTGTAACCTGCACCAAGCTCTGAATCGGCCTTCACCTCAGACTGCTTTGGCTAGGCCTGATTGGAGTGGCAGTTCAGTAACATGTGGAAAGCACCAGTTTGCCTAACTGGTTTTAGTAGGCCCATCATTAAATTTATTTGACTTATTTACGGTTCAGAAGTCTGTGGTAGCTCTGTGGGGACAGCAAAATGAAATGAACTGTTTTGTTATACACAAGACAAATAACAGATTACCGTTCTTTAAATAAACAGACTTATTTTTCCCCCCTGTGCCCTCCAAGTCTAATTAGCTTGAGTAACTAGTTCCGCCTCTTGGACAGAACATGTCAGATTGTTCCATTGCTGTCAGCTGACCTTTTTTGTCTTAATTTGTCCTTCTTTATCTTGGCAGCACAACATACAGAAGGATTCTTCTGGTTAATTGCCATCTTTCTGTTCCATAGATTATCTGCACACATTAATACGGCAACTAGTTTCAACCACACGATTACAGGAAATGTATCACAGATGTTTCTCGTGGGGAAGTCAGATTTGTGTACGCGCTTTGGAAAGTGTTCGGCAGCAAAAGCGAGAAAGAGAAATTGTTGTGAACGATCTTCTCTCAGGACTGTTGATCACCGATGCTTAAATACCAAAGCATCCAGTTGGGAATTGAGATTTGGCAGGATATACACAGGGTGCGCGAACACAATAGGTGAAAAAGTGATGAAAAGCAGTGCAAAAGAATCCAGTCTGGCTTGAAACTATTAGAGAAGAATGGAAAATGTTTTTCATATGTGCTGGAAGATGTGGGGAAGTGCTACAGATGTTTTTTTAGCATCTATCCCTATTATTGAAAACAAATTAATTTTATTAAACTACTCTACCTATGGATTTAGCCAGGAGGATACACCTGCCCAGCTGCAGTTAAAACTGAGGGTTATTTCCTAGCCTGAAACTAACAGCTTCCATCTGCTAAGCCAAACATTTCCACTACTTCTTAGGGAAAGAGTTTGCAGAGCACAGAAGTATAATGTAAATATAATATTAAAAAATCAATATAAAAGAAAGATTAGGAAAATATGTTTTAATAGATCCTGTTGAAGATATGGCTGCCTTTTATTGTTTCTGGTGGGAAATTTATTTACAGTGGGCTGGATCCAGATGACATCTGACAACAAGGGGACCAAAGATACATGTACAGTGGTGCCTCACAAGACAATGTTAATTCGTTCTGAGAAAATCACTGTCTTGTGAAAGCATTGTCTTGCAAAATGCGGTTCCCCATTGGAATGCATTGAAATCTATTTAATGTGTTCCAATGGGGAAAAAAATCATCATCTTGCGAAAATTGCCCATAGGGAAACTGTTTAGTGAAGCACAGACCCAGCTGTCAAAATCATTGTCTTGCGAAAAACCATCCCCCCCAAAAAAAACATCTTGCAAAGCACGGACTGAAACATCGTCTAGCGCAGTGGTTCTTAACCTTTGTTACTCGGATGCTTTTGAACTGCAACTCCCAGAAACCCCAGTCAGGACAGCTGGTGATGAAGGCTTCTGGGAGTTGCAGTCCAAAACTCCTGAGTAACCCAAGGTTAAGAACCAGTGGTCTAGCGAAAACTGCCCATAGGGAAAACTATTTTGCAAAGTGCTCTAGCGATCGCAAAAACCCATCGTCTTGCAAATTAACAGTTTTGCGAGGTAATCGTCTAGCGAGGCATCACTGTAATTATTTAGAACTGATCTTCTTTCAGTTGATCTGCTCCAAGTGTAACTGAGTTTGAATCAAACCTATCAGTAGCTAGTTCCATCTAGGCATCTGTAGCATTTCTTCTATAGAATACTTTCTCTTCAACATTGTTTCCTTTTTTTCTACACTGTTATATTGCTAAATTGAAATGTCTTCATTAAAAAGAAGCAATTGCTTTGTAAACAACTATTATTTATTTAGCTGCCTTTCCATGTTGGTATGCAAGTATGTAACAAGTGAAGATACTAAAATTCCAAAATTCATTTGAAACAGCAGTAAATCACACTACATTTGGAATATAAAGCTATTTGTCCTTCGATTGCCAGATGAGTGTTGCACAGCACACCGCTGTTGTTTGACACTAGAGATGGGCATGAACCAGAAAAATGCTGAATTGGGGCAGTAGGTGGTTCATGGATAGCAAACGGGTTCATTTTTTATTTAATTTATTTATTTATTGTATTTATACCCCGCCTATCTAGTTATTTCGACCACTCTAGGCGGCACTCTGGTTCATGCCTTGGGGGAGGGGAACCTAATGCCCCCACACCTTTCCCACTGTCCCTACAGCCTCCTTAAATGGTCCTGCCACCTCCCCCTCTTCCTTCTCTGTTGCCACCATCTTTAGGGATTCAGCTGATTGGCATTCACAGGCACAAGGACAGTTGGCCTGGCTCCCACAAGGGAAGCTGGGCCGCTGTCCCTGAAAATGCTAGCAGCAGAGAAAGAAGAGGAGGAGGTGGCAGGACCAGGTAGGGAGGCGACAGAGGCAGCGGGAAGGGGCACAGCATCTGTTTTGCTGAAGCAAAATGAAGTGCTGGATGTAAAAAAAGATTGGCACTTCATTTCATTTCAGTAAAACAGAATGCACAAACTGAACCACGAACGGAACCATGAACCAGCCCAGTTCACTGTTTTTTTTTCATTTCATAGTTCAATTCATGCCCATTTCTATTTAACACCCCAGAACATGGGAGCAGTGGGTGGAATTTTGTCTAAAGCAGGGATGGGGACTTGCAAGCCATAACTTGCTGTCAAGTCAGACTTCAGTCATGCCAGCAACTTGACTTGGGCTTTTTTTGGGGGAAAAGACTTGGACTTGACTCATAACTTGAATCCATATTTCCAAGTCACATTTTCAAGTCCCCATTACTTTAATGGAAACATATTACAGTGGTGCCCCACATGACGATGATAATCTGTCCTGGGAAAATCGCTGTTAAGTGAAATCGTCGTCATGCGAAAAGCCTTTCCCCATTGGAATGCATTGAAACCCATTTAATGTGTTCCAATGGGGAAATTACCTCATCGTCCAGTGAAGATTGCCCATAGGGAAGCCATTTTCTGAGCACCGATCAGCTGTTAAAATGGCTGCCCTGTGAAGCATGGGTCCGGAAAACACAGGGCAGCCATTTTAGGAACCCGACGATCAGCTGTAAAGATTGTCATCTTGCGAATAAACGGTCCGCAAAGCATGGACCTAATCGACGACCAGCAGAATTCTCCCATAGGAATGACTGTTTTGCGAATCGCTATAGCGATCGCAAAAAGTCATCCTCCTGCGGTTTCATCGTATAGCGGGGTCATCATCTAGCAAGGTACCACTGTATTTTAATGGAGACTGACCTTTTATCAGTCAATCTGTTGGCTCATCTATTTTTTTCTCATGGTCTCAGCACTCAAACATAAAACAAAACCCACTCCCCTTATTTATTTGTTTTCAGGAGGGCCCTCCTGCCTCATTTTTTCCACCTCCTTCTCTGTGACTGTTTATTTACCTCACTCTGGAGCTGCCGGCCCACCTCCCAGCAATAGGCCATTCTCCTCAGCCTACATATCCCAGCATGCCCTGCACATGCTTCCCAATGTGCACCACTCTGCTCCTTTTAGTATTCCTTTGCTAGGCAAAATAAGAGAGATTGATTCCTTTCCAGGTTCACAGTGTGTCCATTACATACTACTACCGAAAACCAAAAGCAGTACAGAACAGAATCAAACCAAATCAACCAACTAAAAACTAA